CCCTCCCATCCCCAAGCCTCAGTAAGGTAAGGGACTGCCTCCAACTCTCCCCACCTGCCTGTCTTCCCCCATCTCTGTTCTACTGGACTCCCTGACCTCTGCCTTGGGGGACAGCAAGGTCTGGGGCTCTTTGCCACACCCCAGGAAGCTGCAGCTGCCCCAGCCCAGTCCTAACCATAGTTACTCTCTCCATCCTGCATTCTGGGACTTCTTATCCTGCAAAAAAACAAAAACAAAAACACCCTCTTCTTTGCTCCTTCCCCTCATTTTTTTTTCTTCCCCCACGGGTAGACCAGCCTGCTTCTGGTACTCTGGCTGTGGTAGGTGGGTAGACTGGGCTCTCATGGCCTACTTTGACCCTCTCCTTGTTTTCTGCAAGTAAACTGGTCCTCCTTCTTCTGTTTAGCTCTTTAGCTTTAGCCCTCTGGAGCTAAAGCTTTGCAAAACTTCCAGAGCTATACAAGATGGGAGAAAGAGAAATGTAGAGGTTCTTGTTGCAATCAATAAAACCAAAAATTTTAAAGGTTTCCTGCCATAACAAAGAGAGAGATTTACAAGATGTAGCAGTGGCACACACAGTTAATAATGAGGAGTACCCTATGTACAGGTAACATTTAATGGAGAAATAAATCAACAGAATGTTTCTAGATTGGAGGGGGAAAAATGGGGGAAGAATCAAATTTGCCTTGCAGCTTGTAGACAGAGTTCTGTTCCTAGAAAGTCAGTGTTAGACAGATCTTCCAACAAAAGACCTAAATTTCTAAATTTCTTCTGAAAGATTTCAGCTATGGGTAGAGATGAAAAGAAGAAAGCAGCAGAGCAAATTCAAGCACAAATTTTGAAGTTTTCTTCCTTGTTTTACAAGCAATTTCTTCCCTGAAGTAAAAGTATGAATGGTCCAGGTAATTCCATCCTGGGAAAAACTGGGGGATAAACAAGCAAATAGGTCACCAAGACAATTTTCCAACTTCTTTTGGTTAACAAAGAAATTTCAAGGGGAAAAAAAAGTTGAATAATTGACAAGCTTATGACCATTGTTCTGATTAACACAAGGAATGGCCCAGGAAGAGTTCATGGCTCAGACAACATTAGCTTACACTGAATGATTAATTAATTGCTTGCATTTATATAGCTGCTAAACTCAAACAATGAGTAAACAATACCACCTCAAGACAAGACACAAGAATTAATAAATGATCAGGAACTCAAATTTATTGCACACCTTGGGTGGAAATTCCCATTAACCTGGCTGAAGCACGCATGGAAAGGGACAAGTTTTTATTGTTTTGGTACATCTGCCATTGCTTTACCAAGAGCCAGCATTCAACAATGAAAATGGGAAGAACTGAGGGGTATGTGCATATGTGTGTGTACAGTTTTAGCTTCTACAGGCCATCCGTGGGTCCTTGTTAGCATCATTCCTGTAGCTACTAGAATTGCTGAATGAAGGGTGTCATTGAAGGGATAGTGAGGGCACCTTACTTTTCTACAGACTGGGTTCCTTTTCCCAACTAAGCATGCCTGCCACATTTCACCTAGTTCATAAGGATATAATTTTTGACTGAAAAAGGCAATTGTTCCCTAAAAAGTGTTTTTGATATCTTGACTTGATCATAGTCTTACCTTTGCATAAAACCAGAGCAGACTGGAAGTATTACATCACGTAATATTTACCTGTTTGTTAGACAGCAGCCCCTTCTCAATGTTCCAAGAATTCACACCCTGGTTTAGCAAGGAAGTAAAGAAGGGGAAACCAGTTCTTGCTATAATTATATCCCATATCCCAAAGGGAAGATTTTAAATTGGAATATGAAGAATTGTAAAGTTCACAATCTGCTAAGTGCGGTCAATGATTTCAAACTGCTGGGCTGAATTTTGCCTTGCAATTGACCCAACTGCAATGAAAATGAAAAAGGCTCCTGTTTTTCTACTCATTCTCAGGGTGATTGAGATTATCTTAAAAATTATTTTATTATTTCTTTAAAAGCTTTCTTACAGGCAGAAGAAGGTACAATTGATGCTGAAATCATCTTCTGCTACTCATGTTTCCATCTCTCTGAAGGCTCCCTAGCTGCTCACACTTCTAATGTCAAAAGGACTGGTAGGAAGAGTTTCTTCATAGGAATTTTATTAAGTGTGGGAAGCCAGGAAAAGACACCTGCCATATAACAGAGGGCAGAGCATTTCAAAAGGGAATGTGCTTATTTAATCTAAGTAATGCTGATTACTATGTCAGCAATATATTTCAAGTGCTAACAAGCTCTCAAATTGTGAAGTTCATTTCAGTCAAATCCCTATCAATTTGCAGAATTTCTGCAATTGACTTTATTGCATCAGAAACATTTATTGGAACCCTTAACCAAACTGGTCACCTTCATATGAATAGAATTACAACACTCAGCAGTATAGGCTCAGAATTCCAGAAGTTAAAGTTTGAAACCATTTGGAGAACGCCAAATTGGGAAGACTTTTATGCATGAACATTTCTTCTGTAGCCCCAAATAATGGTCCTGTCATTTCTGTGTCTATTTCTTGAGACAAATCATTTCAGACCCAATTGTCCCTTGTTAGGCCTGGAAAGATTCAGTTCAGATGTGATAAACAAATTGAGCACAAGGATTTCTCAGGGGTAAAGTGATGATTATCAGTAAGCCACTAATTAATCCTGCTGTTTGTCAAATTCTCTTGTGGAGTTTCATTATACCTTAACAAAAGGACCATGAAACCTCTTTTGACAGAGCTAAGGATCTGAGACAGACAAAAATATTGTTGTGTGGTCTCAGATTCCCTACTTTATATTTTCCAGTGCCATAGCTTGAGATTCCAATTCAGCCAAATTGTTTTAATCATGGTGATTGTAATTAAAGCACTGTAGATAAGAAGCAGGTCTGATTTACATTAATTATTTGTATTTGTACTCAGCATGATGATACTACTGATGTTGCTACTTTCTCAAATAGCTTGCCACACTCACATTCTCAGATGTCATGTCCATGATCCACAGCCTCCACTTCACAAGTATTATCAACCTGGAGATCTCATCATTGGTGGTGTTGTTTCTCTGACTTTTATAGTTTCTGATCCTCTGGCTTTCGATGTAGAACCTCCACCAGTGGTATACCAAGATCTTAGGTAAGGAATTTCCCCTCATTTCCTTCTTAAACCTACAGCCTAAGAAGGGTATTTTCCACAGTCCACTACCTGCTTACCAAGAAGCTCACTACTTCTGAGTAGATATACTGTATAAATAATTGGGCTAGCAGTAGATTAGTTACTTGATTTTTAATGCCATTAAATGTTTTTCCCTAGCATTTCTTTTCTCTCACTGAAATCCTTTTTCTCTTCTGCACTGACTTATTCTATCTTCCTTGTTATAAAATCACATGTATAGCCATGCTAGGGATAATTGCTTTGATTGCTTACCCCATCAAACATTGCAGATTTTCATTGTACATGATCAGAAGTAGAGATCTTTCCCAGTCATTCAGTCATTTTGTAATCAGAATCAGGTGACTCCAGGATGTCTTACAAACAAAGCATCAATTGGTAGCACTCATTACAATCTCTCCCTCTCTGAAACTTACCCCTCTGATTTTCCACCTTTGGGCAATATTGATCAGCACTTTAACCTTCTGGGGAGTAGGACTCTCTTTGAAATGAATGCATAGGTACTTCCTCTTTAAAAGGTAATGTGTTATTTCATTTTTTGGCTAAATGTGATAAGGCAACCATGCTGTATTTGGAGAGCCTCCTTTGCATTTCTACTGAATTCTACCTGCACTTCGGTGCCCCATATTTTGCCCTGATACCACTGCTACATAGGCATGTGATTCTCAATATGCATTCAAGTTGGATAGTTACATTATTTTTTATACCACAATCTAGAGGGAAAAAAAGACTTACTGAGAACTCAAATATTCTACTCATGAAGTTAATAATATTGATAGAGCTTGGGTTTTATCCTTCTATATCTATCAGAGTAAGATAAGTTTCAACAACAACAACAACAACAATAATTTTTAATGTCAAATATATAGAAATCAGTAGGTTATAAACTTTAATCTGCCCTGCTGATGTAGATTGCAACTCTTGTTCTAGCATCCTCACTAAGCATTACCAGCACATTTTGGCTTTGGCATTTGCAGTAAAGGAAATAAATGAAAATTCCCAATTGCTACCTAATTTCACCTTGGGCTTCCATATCTATGACAGCTATTTCAATGCACAGAGGACATACCATGCCACAATGCAGCTAATGTCTACATCAGATAGATTCATCCCCAATTATAAATGTGGTATCCAAAGCAACTTAATAGCAGTCATTGGAGGACTTGATGCCCAAACTTCCCTTCATATAACAAATATTTTGGATATCTATAAAATTCCTCAGGTAAGATAATAGTTCTTCTCTTAAAGTGTAGTATTGGAATTAGGCTTCATTTCATTCATTCATTCATTCATTCATTCATTTTATTAAGAATTTTTATAGAATAAAAGATAAGAAAGAAGGAAGGAAGGAAATGACAGAAAGAGAGAGAGAGAGAGAGAGAGAGAGAGTTAAGAAATATAATGACTTCCAACATTATTTTCAACAGATAATTACAATCTTATAGTCCCTCCTCCCGCTTAGTTATTATACAAGATCCTTCAGCCTCTCAGAGGCTTCATTTCATTCTTATCCTTCCTTATTGAATTTTACTATTCAAAAGGTTGAAATAAATGGATCAGGAGTAACGTGGCAGATCATACATTTTGTGTAGATAAGACATGCTAAGGTAGGATTACTTCTTTATTTATTTCTAAGCATTTAAAATAAAACTACATAAAAAACTATTCTGGCTTGAAGACATGTTGGCTGGAGGAAATTAGTGTGAGATAGAAAGTATTTAATACTCTTGATATCCACATACACTACTCAAACTGAGTTACTAGAAAAATTGTAAAATCTCTTCCAGGTCAAGCTTGATTCCAGGTGACTTTATGAACTTATCTGTGGAATTTTCATGCAAATGAATCTATAAAAATGGTTTCTTTTGCCTTTCTCTAATTGCCTCTTACAGTATTTCTCAATTCTAGCCTACAACCCTGGGAATCCTGTTGGCCTATCATCCCTCTGTTAACCAAATAGGTCCCTGCTTATATTTTAGAGGACAGCAAATGTTGACTAGGTGCTCCACCCTAGTTGGGCAATTCAGACAATATATTGCTGCAAATTTAGATATGGCAGGATAACTAAGATTCTACATTGTCAAATTTCTATCAGAACTCCTCCAGTGGAAAAATGGAGGAGAAAGAAATGTGACTCATGTGTTCTTCTGAAAATGTTCCAATAAAGGCTATGAAGCCATATGATAGGCTCATTTATTTTCCTTTTCATTAGTATCAAGAGAAGGAGAAACATCTCCACCATCTTTCCTCTAGAAATATTAGTGTTTAGGCTATGGCATAACTCAGTGTCTAATCACAAGACCTCAAAATCTATATAGGAAAAACATAAACTCTAGGGTTTGTGGTCTGGGAGGCAATTTAATATTTCTCTATCCCTTCATCAAACACTGTGCAAATGTTGGGGAACCATTCCTAGTTGGGGGAATATCGAAGGTTTGTTGCATCTGCTAAACTTCACTTTTTCATGCCTTGATCCCAGCTATTCCACTCTTCTTGCTTAACAGTGCTTGAAGTGTCTCTTTCCTCTTAGGATCACTTCCAACCTAGAAAATTATCTATTAAACATTATTTTTCTTGTCAGATATAAAGAATTCCATAATCAATTTGATGCAGGTTCAGACTGACCTTGTGAAGTGGGGGCTCTTCCATTGGAGAAATGGGCTCAACAAAATCCACTCGTGCTTGTGGACTAGGATGAGCAAGTTTCACAAGGTCTTGGAGTGAAGTGGGAACTTCTGATGGGATTGCTGAGGCAAAAAGTTGGAGAGAGAAAGGAGGAAGATAAGGATGACAAAGATGAATTCTACACGCTATTCAGACACTACATTGCAAAACAGTTTTCCCAATCTCACTTCCATCATATGTGTGGGGAGAATCAAAATCCTCAGAACTGCATTTAGAAATGCTGGAAATTGTTGAGCCCCAAAGAGCTCTGACTGATATCAGATTGGGATGGACTGCTTTCACAAAAAGGTGTACATGCATTTTTATGTCTGTGCATGCACAAGTGAAGTGGTTTGCCTTTGGGCTGCAGGGATGGGGTCAAGTAGAGCAACCTATTTCATATCACTCTCCCTTTGATTGATTTAAGCATATCAGGTGTTTTAAAGAGTGATCTTTTATATATAATCCAGGTCCTTCTGAAAGTATATCATAACTTACTTCCTCAAGCTAGCAATACTATTATATACTTTGTGCTCCTGTTTTAAATGATTCTGCAGGTTAGAGACAAATGCCTAATATTTTTGTAATGCTTACACAGGGCACGGGTTTAAATCCTAGCTTCCTCTGTGATGTCCATGAGTTTTTGTGTGCCATGTTTGACACAGAAGATAAGAGGACATTTTCTATTTTACCCTCTGAACACCTAAAATGCTGTCCATAATTCTTTACTGTGACTATGGCTGTTGAAATGCTGGTGCAGTTATTATGTTGTGTTGTGATATTCATGTGTATACTGTATCACTGGAAGATATTTTAAGCATATGTTATATCTAGTACAGTTATTTGCAATAATAGGTTTTAGCAAAAATTCATATAAAATTAAACAATCCATACCATTTCAGTTCATCCTCCCTACAACCAATGTCACTATCTGTCAACATCTGTATCCATATCTTCCTTGTGGCTATGGCAAACAGTGCAACTTTTATCTACATTGGTCAGTAGGAAATAGATTTTTCTTCTATGCTGGACTGACTCAGTTGAGCTAAGAAAGACATAACAAATCTAGCTCTGGGTTCCTGATATAATTTGCAATTTAATAAATAATGGATCAGATCTTCCCCCTGTGAATTATCACAAATACACAAAAGGTGTGTAATTGGTAATTGTTTGTATCTTCCATCCAAATAGGCTATTGGCATTATCTGAAAATGAAGTTCTGTGAAAACTAGTCTCAGGGGGTGGGATGTGAGAGCCTGAAAACAAGATGACATTCCTTTTCCATCTTTAAGAAATTTGTACCACTTGGCCAACTTCAGCTTGTATACATGCTCTTTATCTTGTCTAAAATCTTTAAATAATAAGTAGTCCCTCAGTACTGTACAATTATTTATGTCATTCAACAGTTCCTGATCTAGTGAAAAGGGTGAGAATAGTTTTAAACACAAATTCACCCATCCACTACTGTTAAATTGTTGTCAGAGGCATTGTTTTGCCAAATAAATGTCTGGCGTGAGAACTAGTCTCCAATAGTATACAATTATTGCTTTCTTTATCCTTTAAGAAATTGATGGAAGACCCACTTCTAATCTCAGCATCACTGCCAGTGTATTGGGGAATAAAGCTAGAACTGATCCCATGATTTTGAATGAGACAATGGCCATAAATCATGGACACAGAAAGGTTTAGCTCATCACTATCTGGGATGATACTGGACACAGTCAAGATTACCAATGACAAGAGGTGATGTGAACTGCACTTTAATATTATCTGAAGATACACAGGTTCCCCATCATTGTCTTAAACCATCAGACTTAGTATTTCTGTAAATATGCATAAAATGTAATAGGTTTGAAAGTTTAGCATTCTGGGATTTGCTATGCAAATGCTATTACTGATGTGTTTCCCTTATGAATTATATTCAGATCATTTATGGATCAGCTCCGGAGATGAACGATAAGCTTCCAGGTCTGTCTTTCTACCAGATGGCCCCTAAAGATGACCTTCAGCACTTTGGTATCCTCTCTTTGCTTCTCTATTTCTCATGGACATGGATTGGGATCCTTGCTATGGATGATGACAGAGGAGAAAGATTTGTGCATACTGTAATTCCAGCATTTTCCAAACAAGGCATCTGTTTTGCCTTCATAGAAATGTTCCCTAGAATAAATTACTCTGATGAACATGAAAACATGATAAATAAAGGAGTAAAAATGTATGAAGTTATCCTAGCCAGCAAAGCCAATGTAGTGTTGTTCTATGGGGTATCTTATTCTGTTTTGTTTTTGATATGGTTTCCTTATATTTCTGAATTTGGGGTACAAAAATCATATATAAATCCATTAAAAGGAAAAGTATGGGTAATGACTACTCAGATGGAGCTCAGTATTTTGAACTATCAAAGGAACTGGAGTATAGAAATGTTACATGGTACTCTGTCCTTTACAATTCACTCCAAAGAACTTCATGGGTTTCAAGATTTTATTCAGAGTCAGAAACCATTAAGCAGTAAAGAGGATGGCTTTATGGTGGACTTCTGGCAACATATCTTTAACTGTGGATTTCCAAATAGAATTCAGGACAAAGTTGTAGGACTCATTTGCACAGGCAAGGAGAAGCTGCAGGATGTTCCTGGCCCTTTTTTTGAAATGAATACCATTGGCCACAGCTACAGTGTATACAATGCTGTCTATACTGTGGCCTATGCCTTATGTGCCATGACCGCACCAAGGCTCAGACCAAAAGCAAGAATGAAGGAATCCAAAATTAAGCACTTTTTAGAGGTAAAAGGCTTCAAATCTGAAGTGTAGGAACTTGACTGAAATTTTATCCCTAGCTTCTCTATCTACTCTCCATAAAATTGCGTTAATAGTCTTGCAGATACACTGAACACAAACTTGAATTCTAAGGAAGGTTCATGTTTAACTCTAATAATTAATGCACATCTTGGCTTGGAATAAAATGAAAGGTGTTGGAAAATGCACCAGTGTAAGTGCAGTGATAGTGGTGGTGCCTTCCTTTGAATACCTGCAAATGTTATATTACAGATGTAGTAGAGAGTAAAGATGTTTACTCTGTTAAAGTAAACCTGTCACTTGAAATTATTTTTTAACCTGTTCCATCTAATCTGTGAGCAGAGAAATTGAGTGGGCAACTTTTGCAAATCTCTGCAAAGGAAGGAGAAATTCCTCAAAATAGGCTTTTCCCTCAGTAAGCAGCACAACTGAAAAAGCCTGATGGAAAGCATTCCCTCATCATGGCTTCACTCAGGCTAGGAAGTCAGAAGTTTCAAGGAGAACGAAAGGAAGAAAAGTCCCACCAACTTTGTGACTTTTTCTTTTCAATCCAGCTTCATCGCTTTCTCAGAGGTGTCTCATTCAACAACAGTGCTGGAGACTATATTTCCTTTGATGAGAACAGGAGGTTACTAGTTGGAATGGATGTAACCAACTGGGTTATTTCCTCAAACCAATCTTTTCATAGAAAGAAAGTTGGGAGAATCGCTCATGAAACTTCTCTAGGACGAATGCTGACCGTCAGTGAAGATGCCATAGAATGGCACAACTGGTTTAACCAAGTAAGTTCCACTGTCCTTAAATTTAATGGTGAATTCTAATAACATTTGATTAAAAAAATGAAAAAATGCTATAATCAAACTGATATTACAAATGAAGGTCTACTGAAGCAATCTCTGGAGCATGTTTGAAATAGATTGACTGAAAGCGTGTTGGTGGAAATATAAAGCAGAATATGCATTTATCTTTTGAATCATATATGAAAACAAAGTCATCTCCTCCAACTTTCAACCATGCTACCAAGCATAATGGGAACAATCTTTTTTGCTCAATAGGTCACATGCAAACCTACGTTTTAGCCTGGACTCTTTCCAGGTGTGGATACTGAGTGACAAACACATGTGAGTTCAGGTGCTGTTGCATGAACAAGCATGCTCTCCAGGCTTCACAAGCTCACTTGCCTTTGACAGCAGGATCACGCTTATCTTCTGAGTCTAAGTCTAATCCATTCTCATACTTGTTAAGGCTTTTTAATCAGAGAGACTAAGGAGTAAAATCAATTCAAAAGGCAAACTAGATTAAAATGTCAGAAATTAATCCAACAGTAATGGAATTTCCCCAAAGCATGTGTCATGCTCCCTTCATAATAGCTTTGCTCCTATAATTGCTACAATAAGTCCTTCTTTCACCCGAGTACTGGTGACCTGGATCTGCTCTGGCTTTCTTATAGATTAACCATATTTTCTCTTCTAGATCTGCTTGGCTGTTGGGATATCCAAGCTTTCCTCTGTGATTCTGCCTTCTCATGTTCCCTTATTAAATATCGGCATGTCTGTGGGCTGGGCAGAGGAATCTTAGACTGTAATGTACTGGGTGGGTTTCATGGAGCTGTTGCTGGCCTTGTCTCCTTACTGGAGAGAAAACTTCCTTCTGGTAGTCTTCTTTATCCGAAGGATGCTTGTAAGACTATTTCATGATACCCAAATGAACATAGACATACTGTAGGTAATACATGTGTGAACACATATAATCATATACACACTCACAATACAATTGCTTGCAAAGCAAGAATCTTGACTCTCATTCCTCTTCCAATGATCCTGCATCAATTCATGTATAATGGTATAATGTACCTATTTTATATAAATCTGCTCATCTGGTAATGCCATTATTTTACCATGTTATCTGAAGCAATCGGTAGATGTTTTTTAAAAGGAAAGAAACTGCAAAGTCTGGCCAGAAAAAACATGGTCTGCAAGAGTTAAAAAATAATAAAATATTTGTTCTATTAGATATCTTGTTCATTGAGCAAAAGTATAAATAGCACACCAACAAATTTGACAAACAAAAATTATATTGGAGGTCAGTGAAAATCCTTAGCAAATATTAAAATGCTTTTGAATTCATGCATTTGTTCATCTTTCAGTATCAATCAGTTGACAAGCAGTAGGTCCTACTTACATGATAGCACTTCAGTAATGGATTGTGAACTGATTCTCCTGCAGCCTTAATAACATAAGGGAATGGACAAGAATCAACAGGATTTGAACCTGTGATTATTCTCAGAGTTACTCTCTTCTAACATTCCTAACTAGGTCCAACCAACTTCCATTTGTACTGAGCACTGCCAGCCTGGTACTAGCAAGAAAGTTAAGGAAGGGGAGCCATTCTGTTGCTATGACTGCATCACATGTCCAGTTGGAAAGATTTCAGAGGAGGAGGGTAAGAATTAGGATAAGTAGACTAGCTGTTATGGACAGAAAATTGTATGTAGAATATGTTGGACTTGGAGCAGCATAACCATGTTTCAGGTCCGTATTCAATCATGAAGATCACTAAATGACTTTTGGCTACTCTCTCTCAAGCAGACCCAACCATCACAGTAGTTGTGGAGGTAAAATAAGAGGAGATGTATGTCATCTTCAGCTGTTAAAGGAAAGGTGATAAATAAATGCGAGAAGAAATCAATATGTTTGTGCCTCTGTCAGAACTGAAAAATTCAGAGGGAAGTGTTGAATAGAAAGGGGTTGCTTAGGAAAGAGTAAATGTTATATATGTTTAGGTTAAAATTCCCCCTTCAAATGATAGAGAAGGGGCGGGGAAGGATGGGAGGGAAAGGGGGAAAAAGACAGTTTTACTGATTCTTAAAGCAAATATCATCATCATCATCATCATCATCATCATCATCATCATCATCTCATGAGAAGGGGGTTCAGGTAGCAGATCTTTCAGGTAGTAACTGAATGGTTCTGTTTTCAGATTAAAAACAGCAGGAGTCAGTTATCCCTTTTTGAAATAAAGAAGTATAATAAAATTGCACTTCTAGGACCCCTTATGAGACCACAATGTTGATTGAAAATGACCTAATTGGACCACTGATTGGGGCAAGTAATTTTTCCAGAAGGCTTCTAGGAAGTATGTTTTATGGCTTGAATACAGTACATAGGTTTGATACAAGAACTGAAACCAAGTATCTTTCTTTTACAGATATGAGGGATTGTTATAAATGCAGAGATGAATTTTATCCAAATAAGAACAAGAATTTCTGTCTCCCCAGATATGTAAGTTTCTTATCTTATGGAGAACCTCTTGGGATGAGTTTCTCTTTCTCGGCTCTTTTCTTTTCTTTGATCACAGCTCTGGTGCTGGGAATATTCCTAAAGCATCATAACAGCCCAATTGTTATAGCCAATAATCGAAACCTCACTTACACTCTTCTGGTCTCCCTCTTGCTCTGCTTCTTCTGTGTGTTCTTGTTCATTGGCCGTCCTCAGCAGGTGACCTGTCTTATCCGACAAACTGCTTTTGGCATCACCTTCTCGGTGGTGGTTTCTTGTGTGCTGGCAAAAACCATAATGGTGGTTCTGGCATTCTTAGCCACCCAACCTGGATCCAAGATGAGGAAGTGGGTGGGGAAAAGACTGGCCCACTCAGTACTTCTTTTCTGCTCCCTGATTCAGGCATGCATTTGCATTTCATGGATGTGGATCTCTCCACCTTTCCTAGAGGTTGATGTTCATTCAGTGCATGAAGAAATCATACTGCAGTGCAACGAGGGCTCAGTGGTTATGTTTTACTGTGTCCTGGGCTACCTGGGCTTCCTGGCTGTTATCAGCTTCTCTGTGGCTTTTCTTGCCCGGAAGTTACCTGACACTTTCAATGAAGCCAAATTCATCACATTCAGTATGTTGGTGTTTTGCAGCGTGTGGTTGTCTTTTGTTCCAACCTATCTCAGCACCAAAGGAAAGTATATGGTTGCCGTGGAAATCTTTTCCATCTTTGCTTCCAGTGCTGGTTTGCTGGGATGCATTTTTTTCCCCAAAAGTTACATTATTCTATTGAGGCCAGAGCTGAACAAGAGAGAACAAATGATAAGAAAGAAGTGCTAAGAAGAGCAAAGGCCTCTTTTGCTATAATATGCAAAGTACAGGTGAGATACATGTTCAGTCTGTACCATTTCATGATATTACAGTGCTGTGGACAGCCCACTACCTGTTACACAGATATGATCTCCATCATACTTTTTGTATCCCCTTGAGGCGTTATCCTCTACCCCCCCACAAAAAAGTAGGAAAATGCCAGAATTGGCTAATATGTAGAAGTATGTCCTGTATCAGCCCATCTTGCCAGACTACCCTTGCCCTGGTATTTTACAAAGGCAGCAAACTGGCTTCTGCATGATGCTTTGCTCATTGGATGGGAATGTCCTCATCATCAATGCACATCAACTGTGATCCGCTCCAGTTAATCAAGCCCTCATTCAGTTAAATACACCTCTTTTCCTCAACTCCTTAAATACTAGAAAAGCTCCAAAAACAGGCCAACATTTGTGGATGTATCCTGACCTGATCGACTCCAGGTATCCTTAGTAAGTCAAAACGTAATTTAAAAATTAGTGTCTTCCCAAAATGTATTAGATTAAGTATAATCAAAATGTTATAACCATCATGTATAACCCTAATCTAATACATTATCTTGATCTCGATCTCGATCTCGATCTAGATCTCTATGATTCAGAAAGGATTCTGTAATGAAAGCCAGTATGCTACAGGGATTACGGTGCTGAACTAGGACTGAAAAGACTCTAGCCTCTGTGCTGGATGCTTCCTGGATGACTTTGGGACAGTCACTGTCTCTCAGCCCAATGTGTCGCACAGGTTTGCTGTGGTGGGGGAAAAAAATAGGAGAAAGGTGAGACATATATGCCACATTGAACTCCTGGAAATAAGGTGGGATGGATAAATAATAGGGGTATTCCCTTTCTTGTATATGATTGTGTGTGGTTATCTGACATGCCATGTTCACTATTTTCTGTAGGAAATGTATCATCCAAGTTTAATTATGAAATCAGTTTTAAAGAATATATTTTATCTAACTGGAAATCAGTAGAGACATCTCCAGTCATTTTTCATGAAAGCAGAGACCAACCCACAGCCCATGCAGATCCTTACTCTCCATTTCGAAACCCCAAAGCATCCTGAATACATGAAATCTGGCAGCAAAATGAGCTACATTTCAATGGCGCAGTTCTTTACTAAAAAAAAGAAAGTGAGGGAGGAGTAATACTTCTAGAATGTGAAATGCTTTTTCCCTCTTTTCTTGAAACCCCCCCTCCCAGTCCCCAACATGATGAAAAAAAGCCAAATATGTTTCATCTCATTCCTCTCTAGGTGTCACCATATAATCAAAAAGCTTTGTGCTAACTGCTTATGAATTACACTTAAAAAGTTTACTCATTTTGAATTACATTTTGAAACAGTTTATACAAGATTACTTTGTAATGGTAGTCTGGTATGGGGATTATATTCATTATCCATTACTGACAAATGGAATTTTCAATAAAAAATATACTGTGATTTCTGGAATGTGTTGTAAAATACTTGCATGATTCAAAACTATCTATGGGAAAAACGTTATTTCTGCATATTTTTTTCCTTCAGGTCAAAAATATCCCATTTTTGCATTTATCGGCAATCTACCTTTTAATAAAATTAAATTGGAAAAAATACATTGCAATATCTATCTTTAAATATTTAAGCAATCATATTACATGGGATGCCCATACTAGTCTGTTTAAGAACAATGATACAAGTTTTGTTGCATATTAAATATTAATGGATTTACTATACTATTATCCTTTGTGGAGCTGATGTAAGAGACAACAATCAGCTGAAGCAGATAATATATATATGTCAGTATCTTGTAAGATTCCTAAATTAACCAGAGTACTATGTTCCAGAAGCATTTCTGGTACTCCCGTTGTCAAATCTGACAGAGGACAAACTCATCTTCATACTCCTCATCTCTCTGCTACTCTGCTTTCTTTCTGCATGGTCATGAGTCAGCCTCTGAACATGACATGTCTCTTCCGTCAAAGTGTTTTTGCCATCATCTTCTCAATGGTTATTTCCTGTATGCTGACAAAGCCCATCACTGTGGTCCTGACATTTTTGGCTACCAGACCAGGATCCAGAATGAGGAAGTGGGTGGGGAAAAGACACACCATCTCCTTTGTCTTTTCTGCTCATCTATCCAGGCAGCCATTTATATTGCTAAGCTGGCAATCAGTCCTCCGTTTCCAGATATTGACATGCAATTAGTCAGTGACAAAATTATGCTAGAATGTCATGAACGTTCTTTATGTTTTGTTCTGCTGTGGTTATATGGTCATTCTGGCCAGTGCAAGTTTCTCTGCTGCTTTTCTTGCTCAGAAGCTGCCTGACAGATTTAATGAAGCTAAATATATTACTTTCAGCATGTTGATATTTTGTACAGTTTGGTTATCCTTTGTTCCAACCTATCTAGCACCAAAGGAAAATACATGGTAACTCTAGAGATCTTCTCCATCTTAGCCTCCAGTGCTGGAGTGTTTGCCCTATGTACTTCATTATTTTGTTGAGATCATAGTGGAATAAAGAACAGCTTATAAGAAGAAAACTTTGAGAAATGAATCTGCCTCTGCCATTACTTCAGCATTGACTGCTGATGAATACTTTAGTATGTCTTTGTATATTTGCTAGACATGTTCTATTTCCATCTCAGTAGCTGTTGTGTTTTTAGATGGGCTGAAGCCTGTCATTTTCCTAGCTTTAAAATTTGGAAATTGTAAGAACCGTGGTACTCAGTTCCCAATGAAAGCAACTCTCACTGAAACCAATGCAGATTCAAAGGGAAGTTCATTTATTGGTAAGTAGTGAACAACTCTAGAAACATAGCTGGAACTGAGTCTCGCACGCACCAAAACTTGATTTTACCTCACTCCCATTTCACACACACCCTTCTGTCTTTGAATTTCTCTTGCAAACATTGAAGATATTCTCACATTCCCTCATTGGTATGACCTTGGGCATTCCTGAGAGCCAGATAATGGCCCATCTGCGCCTAATGGTGAGCATTCCAACCTTCTCTCCCTTCCTCCCTCTCTACTGTAATGGCAGAAACAAAGCAAGTGAACTAGCAGTGCAAGTGATTGATTGCGAGGATTCTGACAGAATTTTTTTCAGGGTTTGCTAAAAAAAAACCAAAAACACCCAAAACATAGCTAGATTTTTAAGGGAGCCAACTTGATGTAGTGGTTAAGGCAGCAAGTGGGAACTGGGAGACCATGAGTTTGAATTCCACCTTAGGCACAAAACCAGCTGGTTGACCTTAGGCCAGTCAGTCTCTCTCAGCCCTAGGAAGAAGGCAATGGTAAGCCACTTCCAAAAATCTTGCCAAGAAAACAACAGAGATTTGTCCAGGCAATCATCAGGAGTCAAAAGAACAAAATAATCTTTATTGTAGCAGCTCTTTTTCAAACTTCTATTTTGTTCAAGAAGACTTCAGAATACTTTCCTAATGATTCATGAAAGAAAAATAGCTTAGTAGTAACTCCAAATTCATGAATCCCAAATTCAGTACTCAGAGTGTGTGGATTTCTTCTCCAAGGGCAGGACAAGAATCAGTAGTTAGACGGTTTACAAAGGGAGATCCAAACTCAAAAAAAGGATGGATTCTGACCATTAGGGCAACTAGACTGTGGAACAACATACCTCCTGGAATTCATCACTGGAAGTTTTCAAGGAAAATTTAGAAATCCATTTTTCTGGGATGGTATGAGGGTTCCAGCCCTGGGCATGGTGTTGGACTAGAAGACCTTCAAAGTCCTTCTCAACCCTGCAGTTCTATGGTTTAGAATCAAGACAACAGAAGACGGGATAGGAGCAGCTGAAATGCTGAATGTCTATATACACAACCAGAACATTTATGGTATGCCAATGGGCACAGGCCTCACAGGGTTCCTAGCTATAGTATTCATTTCCTCTACAAATTAAATTCTGTGGAACTGACTTCTACAAAGAAAATTCAGCTAGTTAGTCTAGACCCAAAGCACCAAATAGAGCACTTTTTTTTTTTTTTTTAAGTTCTGATATAAAAACCTCTGAAACAGTGAAAATTCTGATTTTCCAAGCAGGAATGAGAGAATATAATATTTCTTCCATGTCTTCCTATCCTTTTTTTATTAAATCTGAGAAGGTATCCCAGCATATTGCAAAGATTCTGTGTGGGCTTTGATGCTTTTATTGACATTTACTCAAAAATCCAGCTGGCAGGATATTCCTGCTGTTAAGAATGTGTATAGAAAATACGTCATTTGTCACTGCAAAGGCAAATCTTAACCATCTTCTGGTATATGGATGATTACTCAGAGAGCCAGGATCTGTCAAAACATATTCAAGAGAATTTTTTTTTAAAGGTGAAACTGAAACAGGAAATGCCCAAACACATTCATGAACTTGATTTGTCCAAGTTTAGCAGATCTGTTACATATATATGTACCTCTTGAGCCCAACTATAAACTATGATAAATATGTGTCATCTGACCCTCCCCACAAGACCGGTTTAATTTTCATAAATACATCATTAAAGTCTTCTTTACCTCAGATTCCTGAAGGACATTTTTCTGAACCTCAAAATTCATGTTTCAGTGAGTAGGTTCTTTAGCTTTGCATGCTCAAATCCACAAGAACATTATCCTGTCTTTCATAGGGAGAAATCCAAAAGGCCCAAATGCCTTTGGACAAAGATTTAGTACAATTGTATAAAATTTGCCGGGTCAGTTTTTGTTGGTTCCAACCATTTTTGGATTGACAATTTGAACATCGGCAGCTTAG